GTAAGGGTTGCGATTGACAACTCAAAGTCGCACTTTTTCCTCAGGTTTTGACGTCCAACGTCCATTTCGTGCGTAAGGGTTGCGATTGACAACTCAAAGTCGCAATTTTTCCTCAGTTTTTGACGTCCAACGTCCATTTCGTGCGTAAGGGTTGCGATTGACAAAGTAAAGTCGCAATTTTTCCTCAGTTTTTGACGTCCAACGTCCATTTCGTGCGAAAAGGTTGCGCGCGACACCTCAAAGTTGCAATTTTTCCTCAGTTTTTGACGTCCAACGTCCATTTCGTGCGAAAGGGTTGCGCGCGACACCTCAAAGTTGCAATTTTTCCTCAGTTTTTGGCGTCCAACGTCCATTTCGTGCGAAAGGGTTGCGCGCGACACCTCAAAGTTGCAATTTTTCCTCAGTTTTTGGCGTCCAACGTCCATTTCGTGCGAAAGGGTTGCCGGCGACGCTTCAAAATCGCAATTTTACCTAGGTTTTGGACGTCCAACGTCCATTTCGTGCGAAAGGGTTGCGTTTCGTGGCGCTCCGGCGGCACCGCCCCCGCCTTAAGAGAGAATAGAAGAAGAGCGAGGGGAGATCTGCAGATGTGAAGGTGTGAAGATGTAGATCTGCAGATGTGAGGGTGTGAAGATGTAGATCTGCAGATGTGAAGGTGTGATGATGTAGATCTGCAGATGTGAAGGTGTGAAGATCTAGATCTGCAGGTGTGAAGGTGTGAAGATCTAGATCTGCAGGTGTGAGGGTGTGATGATGTAGATCTGCAGATGTGAGGGTGTGAAGATCTAGATCTGCAGGTGTGAGGATGTGAAGATCTAGATCTGCAGGTGTGAGGATGTGAAGATCTAGATCTGCAGGTGTGAGGGTGTGAAGATCTAGATCTGCAGGTGTGAGGGTGTGAAGATGTAGATCTGCAGATGTGAGGGTGTGAAGATCTAGATCTGCAGATGTGAGGGTGTGAAGATCTAGATCTGCAGATGTGAGGGTGTGAAGATCTAGATATGCAGGTGTGAAGGTGTGAAGATCTAGATCTGCAGGTGTGAAGGTGCGAAGATCTAGATCTGCAGGTGTGAAGGTGTGACGATGTAGATCAGCAGATGTGAAGGTGTGAAGATGTAGATCGGCAGATGTGAGAGTGTGAAGATCTAGATCTGCAGGTGTGAAGGTGTGAAGATCTAGATCTGCAGGTGTGAAGGTGTGAAGATCTAGTATAACGGCTGCTTTTTTACGAAGAACCCTTCGCAGGCGCTCTCGGGAAAAACCTGCCTGACACTCAAATGGTTACTGTTGCAAACAACACCACTGCTGATGGTCCCTTCTCCCAATCTCTTCCCCTCCTGCCACGCCCGGCACATTGAGCCACGTCATCTCAGCGCCGCCTGAAAAGTGGCAGGCCCCCCCAAATCCCCATTGCCACACATGCAGAGGATGGTGCGCTGTGGGAACTAACCGTTCAACCAAGGCGAACAACATGAACAACTATGCGAAATTTACAGCCCATTATGTCAACTCCTTCCAGCAAGTAACAAGGTGCAACATTACACCACCGTAGACCCCGAATAGTGGGTGAATTCAAGAAGTGTTTTGAGGAACAGGGTCAAACACATGAAATAGCAGCGACAGGACTCGTGAAAATGTTTACAATAAGTGCCGGAGACCACTTCACATTTAGTTTTTTCGGCTTCGCTCGCTTTATCGCAAAGCTTGATGACGAAAAACGATGAAGGAAACATCCGATGGAGGTGCAAGAGTATTTGGATCCAAACACTCGAATCAAGCAGCATAGGAGTGTCAAATTGGATATAATGAAAACATCGGAGGATGAAAGTGAAAGATGTTATCATTCTCAACTCCCGAGCCCACAGCTTCCAAGCGGGCGAGCAACTTCACGCTAGAAGTGTGCATTCAATATTTCCAAAGCATCAACTAAAATGCAAAATGAGACCACTTGCCACAAACGGAAACAAAAAAAAGACACAACTTGGGCGACAAGCTGGGAAATCAGCGACACAAGGCCTTGGAAGGAAAACAAGAAGGAAGACAAGCTCTGAGACAGGAGGGAGACAAGGCAGACAAGGCCTTGGGAATGCGGACACGCAATCCAACAAAGGGAAACAAGAAGGGAGAGAAGCTGGGAGACAACCGGGGAGACAAGCTGAGAAACAAGCTGCGACACAAGCTGGGAAACAAAGGGGACAAGGCCTCGGAAAAAACCCACCATCCAACAAAAGGAACCAAAAAGAGACACAATGGGAGACAATGGGGAAGGCGGACACAAAGGGAGACAAGAAGGAAGACAAGGTGGGAGACAAGATAGGAGACGGAATGGCCGACACACATCCAACAAGGGGAAACAAGAAGGAAGACAAGCTGGGAGACAAGATGGGAGACAAGCTAGGAGACAAGCTAGGAAACAAGCTGGCAGACAAGCTGGGAGACAAGGGAGGCAAGACCTCCGGAAGGCGGACGCGCCATACAACAAAAGGAGACAAGAAGGGAGACAAGCTGAAACAAGCTAAGAGACAAGAGAGACAAGGACTCGGAAAGGCGGACGCATCATCCAACAAAGGAAAAAAAAACAAGCTGGGAGACAAGCAGGGGGACAAGATGGAAGACAAGCTGGGACACAAGGGAGACAAGGCCTCGGGAAGGCGGAGGCACCATCCAACAAAGGTGAAGGCGGACACAGCATCCAAGGGGAAACAAGAAGGGAGACAAGCTAGGGATAAGCGGGAGACAAGATAGGAGACATGCAACTGGGGGAAAAGCTGGGAGACAAGCTGGGAGACAAGCTGGGAGACAAGATGGGAGACAAGCTGGGAGACTAGATGGGAGACAAGCTGGGAGACAAGATGGGAGACAAGCTGGGAGACAAGCCGGAGACAAGCTTGGACACAAGCTGGGAGACAAGCTGGGAGACAAGCGGGAAGACAAGCGGGGACAAGCTGGGAGACAAGCTGGGAGACAAGGTGGTAGACAAGGAAGGCAAGGCCTCGGGCACACCATCCAACAAAGGCACACTTGTGGGGAGACAATGGGAGACAAGGGGCGACAAGACCTTGGGAGGGCGAGCGCAACATCCTCAAGAAAGCATTAAGAACACTGGGGAACAATTGGAGACGAGGGGAGGCAAGACCTGGGGAAGGCGGACACACCATCCAACAGGCACACATGTAGGGGTCCAACACATGTGGTAAGACAATGACAAGACCTCGGGAAGGCGGACTCACCATCTAACACAAGCACACATGTAGGGAGACAATGGGAGACAAGGGGAGACAAGACCCTGGGAAGGCGGACAAGACCCTAGCCAAGGCGGACACCATCCAACCAAGACAAGAAGGGGTACAATGGGAGACAAAGGGAGACAAGACCCTCGGGAAGGCTGACGCACCATCCATCAAAGGAAAACAAGAAGGGGTACAATGGGAGACAAGGGGAGACAAGACCCTCGGGAAGGCGGACACACCATCCAACCAAGGCAAGAAGGGGTACAATGGGAGACAAAGGGAAACAAAGGGAGACAAAGGGAGACAAAGGGAGACAAGTCCTCCGGGAAGGCGAACTCACCATCCAACAAGGAGAAACAAGAAAGGGTACAATGGGAGAAAAAAAGAGACAAAGGGAGACAATACCCTCGCTAAGGCGGACGCACCATCCAACCAAGGTAAGAAGGGGTTCAATGGGAGTCAAGGGGAGACAAAGGGAGACAAGACCTTCGGGAAGGCGGACACACCATCCAACAAAGGGCAACAAGAAGGGGTACAATGGGAGACAAAGGGAGACAAGACCCTCGGGAAGGCGGACACACCATCCAACCAAGGCAAAAAGGGGCACAACCCAGGATGGGAGACAAAGGGCGACAAGACCCTCGGGAAGCCGAACACACCATCCATCAAAGGGAACCTAGAAGGGGTACAATGGGAGACCCTCGGAAGGCAAACACACCATCCAACAAAGAGAAACAAGAAGGGGTACAATGGGAGACACAGGACACAAGACCTTCGGGAAGGCGGACTCACCATCCAACAAAGGGAAACAAGAAAGGGTACAATGGGAGACAAAAGGAGACAAAGGGAGACAAGACCCTAGCTAAGGCGGACACGCCATCCAACCAAGGCAAGAAGGGGTACAATGGAAGACAAGGGGAGACAAAGGAAGACAAGACCTTCGGGAAGGCGGACTCAACATCCAACAAAGGGGAACAAGAAGGGGTACAATGGGAGACAAAGGGAGACAAGACCCTCGGGAAGGCGGACACACCATCCAACAGGGAAACAAGAGGTACAGTGGGAGACAAGGAGAGACAAGACCCTCGGGAAGGCGGAGACACCACCCAACAACAAAGGGAAACCAGAAAGGGCACAATGGGAGACAAAGGAGACAAGACCTTGGCGGACATATCATCCAACAAAGGGCAGCAAGAACGGGTAAAATGGGAGACAGAACTTTCGGGAAGGCGCGCGCACCATCCCTCAAAGGAAAACAAGAAGGGGTAAAATGGGAGACAAAGGGACAAAGGGAGACAAGACCCTCGGGAAGGCGGACACACCATCAAGAAGGAGTACAATGGGAGACAAGGGGAGACAAGACCCTCGGGAAGGCGGACGACACACCATCCAACAAAGGGCAACAAGAAGGGGTACAATGGGAGACAGAACTTTCGGGAAGGCGCGCCCACCATCCAACAAAGGGAAACAATAAGGGGTACAATGGGAGACAAAGGGACAAAGGGAGACAAGACCCTCGGGCAGGCGGACACGCCATCAAGAAGGGGTACAATGGGAGACAAGGGGAGAAAAGACCCTCGGGAAGGCGGACGACACACCATCCAACAAAGGGCAACAAGAAGGGGTACAATGGGAGACAGAACTTTCGGGAAGGCGCGCGCACCATCCAACAAAGGGAAACAATAAGGGGTACAACGGGAGACAAAGTGAGACAAGACCCTGGGGAAGGCGGACACACCATCCAACCAAGGCAAGAAGGGGTACAATGGGAGACGAAGGGAGACAAAGGGACACAAGACCTTCGGGAAGGCGGACTCACCATCCAACAAAGGGAAACAAGAAAGGGTACCTGGGAGACAAAGGGAGACAAAGGGAGACAAAGGGAGACAAAGGGAGACAAAGGGAGACAAAGGGAGACAAAGGGAGACAAAGGAAGACAAAGGGAGACAAAGGGAGACAAGACCCTCGGGAAGGCGGACACACCATCCAACACCAAGGTGGACACCTTAAGAAAGCATTAAGAACTCCTAACAGCACTTTGTTTGGGGCAGAAAAGGCAAGCGGGAGAAATATTGTGTGTGGGAATGCTGTGTATGAGAATGTTGTGTGTGTGTGCGTGACAATGTTGCATGTGACAAAGTTGTTGTATGCGACCTGTGACAATGTTGTGTGACAACAATGCTGTGTGTGTGTGTAACAGAGTTGTGTGCGACAGGGTTGTGCGCGAATAAGGTGTGTGTGTGTGTGTGACTATGTTGGGTGTGACAGAGCGGAGACGACGGATGGAGGAGGAGGCGGGTGGGCGCAGGAAAACAAGAACGCCTCACCCAAACAATGATGTGGGGAAAAGCTTCAGGATGCCCCAAACCCTTCAAAATTCATCTTTACCTAGCAGAGAAAACCCACGCAGTCCTTCCCCACCTCCCAGCCCAGCAGGCTGCACGCGCTGCGGGCGACGCAGCAGGCGCATTGCCTCAGCCAAACCATGGTGGAGAGGTAATGCTAAGAATGATGGCGGTATAGGCAAACCAGGACTGGGTACAACTTCAAACTGGTCACTACAGCGGAAATGCACAGTACATATTTGACCTGTGGTGATCCTCTAAACTTGAGACCCGGGGCGGTGGACGAAAGATGACGAAAGCCATCAGCAAGAAAGAGGGGTAAGAAAGAGAGAGAGAGAGAGAGGCATTTCTAACATCTTTGGCCATGGGGAAGCATCCTCTGAAACATCGAGAAGTTGGATCGCATGTGTTCATGGGTGAAAGGTGATGGGTGTCGGCCAGCAAACATGAAACCCATTGAAGTCGTATGGGGGTGAACTTTACCTGTTTGTTTGGTGTTTTGTGAATTTTCTGTAGTACACACTTGCTGCGGTGATCACGGAGAAAATAAAGGTGCTGACAAAGCACACAGGCAAAAACCCCGGCTGAGCGAGGAACACCTTCACCCTGGCAAGATTCCAAGCCCGTGGCCGTCTGCTTGGGAGGCTTGGGAGGTGCCCGTCCCTTGTCAAGAATCAATTCCAGCTAGCTACCGCTAGCTTTTGTGATTACAAATCCCCATTGTTACTGGGTTTATACCTGCAAGTATCCAGATACATGTCTGGTACATAGCATGCATTCAAACCCTGTTTTCCAATTTAGCTTGAGTAACATTCTCAATCTGCTGCGATTCTGTAGCTACCTTTTTCTGTCTCAAGACTCGACCTGGCTGTGACTCCAGCCATACGTGCGGCCAAAACCGAAGCTGCGCTGCATTGATTCTTGGAGGTACGGAACTTGAAGGTGAAGATCGGTGGTTGGTGGACGTAACCTAGGGCTGACCTTTCCAGGTTATGTGCCCAACGCTCTGAGAAATCCCAACGCTCTGAGTCCAACGCCATAAAGAAGACCGACATTGAAAAAGAGCTCTTCGGAATGTTTGCTAGAAGGAGGGCAACTGACGCTGAGCTACAACAAGGTGAAGACGAAATGAAACGTGCCCACAGACGTCTTGAATCTGAGCTTGCAAGTGGAACTGAGCCGCAGTTAGAAGATGTTAAAGAACCTGAGGCAGTAGAAGTCTATGAATCACCTAGGGCTCCAAAAAGGGATGAGCCGCTGGGAATTGAGGATAGACCAGAAAATGCCCCGAAGTCTTTTTTTACCTCCTGTTCCTGACCCGACAAATCAGGGATTAGCTGCAAGGTCTTCAGACAAGCATGCAAGGCCATCCGTCCGCGCCAAATCGGAACCTAAAACACCAAGGAAAACTGAGGAAACACCATCGAAACGCTCTGAGGGAAGCTGCTGTGACTGATGCTTCGGCCGTGAAGTCGGAAGCGAATGTGCAGGGTGCGTCAAATGGACCTCAAAGTGCGGGAAATGTTTCAGACAGAGCGCAACGAATTATTCCACCCAGCACTGCATCAATGTCTCAGGCCGTGATTTCACCAACCCAACCTTTGTTTGACGAGCAACAGCTGAGACAGTTCCAGGAGATGTTCAATCAAGCTCCTTGGCTGTATCCTGGTGCACAACAACTGATCATGTCAAACCAGTTAACTATGCCCCCTCCAATTGCTAGACCATTATTCTTGGAACAAGATGAACGTAGGGTTCAAGGGTCTTTGAAAGTTGGGGAAGCACTACAAGTCGCTTTTCCTTACGGACAAAGGGAAGGCCAAAATCCTAGACCTCAAGAAATCCCTTTCCAATCCCGATCCGATTTGAAAACGCTAATGGAAGAAAACAAGCAACTTCAAGAACGTGTTTTAGCTGTGGAAAGCCAGAAGGAAGAAGAACCGCAGTTCTCCACACCCAATGGGGAACAAAAGGAGGCTGAGACCACCACAAAGGAGGCTGCGAGACCCCCACAGACTGAAGCTGAAGAGACACGAAATTTTCGAAGTCAGGAAGCTGAGACCACCAAAGAGGCCGCCGGCCCACAAAGGCCCAAAAATGATGGAACTGCTAGCTTTACCGAGAAGTCCTTGGAATTTATGTCCTTAATGATGCATTCCATGCAAGAAATGCAGAAAAGAATGCAAGAACTTGGAGACGACATGGGGATAGTCGAAGGAAGTTTAGAAGTCAAACTTCCGACAATATGGACAGATGAAA